CCGGTGCCCGGGGCGGGGGCAGAGGAAGGCAACGTCTGCTCGTTTACTTATTTATTTATTTTAAAGGCATCTGCTGCCTTTTCTGTAGGGGCTCACCCTGCTTTTTTTTTTTTTTTTTAAGATTTTATTCATGTATTTATGCAGACGAACTGGGGTGCAGGCTAGAGCTGAGAGGGGTGAGAAGACTCCCCAGAGACAAAGTGGGGAGCAGAACAGGCGGATGGACTGAAATCCACTGCTGAAGGAGCAGTGGGGAGACGGAGGGGTCTGCCGCAGGGGGGGGTCCCCTCCCTGCCGGGGATCGACCTCGTGCTGCAGCGGCTGCGGTAGCTCACAGTGCCGCGCGCTGACCCCTGCGCCCCCAGGGAGGGCCCGTGCGCTCTTACTTTTAAATGTGCATTTCCTTCCAGTTAATGAAGTACAATTTAAACATTCTGGGAAACAAAATTATGGCACACGCTCCCAAAGCCCACGCCCACCCCACCCGGCCGCGAGGTGGCACCGGGCTGGCACCGGGCGCCCTCCGCAGGTGCGGGCCCACATCCGGGCTCACCGGACCCGCTGCGAGATTCGCTCGAGATCCGGGATTTTCACTAGAACACGTCCCAGCCCTCCAGGCAGGCGAGGGGCATTTTCCGGCGGGGGCGGGTGACGCACGACGTGCCCTCCGCGGCCCGGCGCTCCCCCACGTCGCCCCACGTCGCCAACCCGGGGTCAGCTCAGCACGGGGGTCGGACCCCGCCGCGAGCCTCGTTCCTGACGATGGCCTTGAGCGTTTGGGGGCGGGGGAGGGTGACGGCTCCGCGCCCGCTCACGGTGCCCCGGCCGCACCTCACGTGCACCTGCCAGCGCTGCACCTCGAGCAGCGTCTTTTGGCTTGTTTTGCCGACAAGACAGATACGTCGACCCTATTCTCCAATCCGAGACGCCTGCGTCTCACCCCCGAGGTGCCGGACCCGCACAGGAGGGCGCGCCGGGAGTCTCGGTGCCACGGCCCCTTCCGTGAGCCCCGACAGCCACGGTGCCCGCGCGCTGGGCATCCGGCCGCAAGCCCGGGCGCTCACTGCGGATGTGCAGCTTTCAAGTTCCCTCGCAAACAGCCCTGCTCCAGAGAGCCGCCTCAGCACACGTGTAAAGGGGCCTGCACATTTTAGTGGAACATTTTAATGGCGGGG